TTGGGAGGATTCCAGGGTTGCTTTGCCATAACTGAAATCATACTGAAAACAATCATCGGATGGTTTCATAAGAACACAAATGGTGGGATCACCATATCTTCCTTCAGTGATCTGCAAATCGGTCATAGCTATGACCTGTATAGTACTGAAGCAATCAGGTTGGCTTTATCATTATTATCCAGTTACAACTGCAGGCGTAGAATATTGACCCCACTCATAGCCTGCATATTGGAGAAAAGACTGCACGCTTAATTTTTAGTACTTTCTTTGTTATATTTTTAAAGAAAAGACCTGAGTAGAAATTCAAGTAATGTAATATGTGTAAATTAAACAGGAAGGAAGGATTGGGGTGGGGAGAACAGTAAAAATGACTAGAAAATATGCAGTCAGTCGGACTACGCAACTTTAGGATTAAGGACAAATTGTTGGTCCTCTTCCTTGAGGTGTTTTTTTGGGGGGAGATGGGGTTAAATAAGAGTTAATTCTAGCACTGATGATAAAAATCTACCCACAATCTTCTGTTGCACATCTTCAAGGCAATCACATGCCTGGGATGGAACTATCTGAGATTAGATTAGTGGGCTCATTGAAATAATATGTTTCGTATTAAAAAAAAAAAAAAAAAGTTAAGGGAAAACTCTACCCACAAAAAAAATTGCTTTTTGTATTTTCTCCTCCCTCTCCCTACATATAATATTTCAACCTTTATTTGTATACACAGACCAAAACTAACACCCAGACAACCCAAGTAATAATCATAAATAAAACAAAGGAAACACAAAATAATGTACGGTAAAGGAAGCAATATAACAAAGAAAGATTGGAAAGGATTGTCTAGTACAGTTGAAATCACCCCCTGTGGTGATCTAAAGAAAACTCTAAACCCCAAACTTTCTCCCTTCTCATAAAGGGAGCACGTTGAGGTTAAATGCAAGCAACTGACTTGATTGTGAGGTCTGAGCAAATATAGAAGTGCTCTGAATAGGGGATATTGTGAAACGTTTT